CCCGGAGAAAGCAGGCGCCCCCCCCGCCAGTCCCGGCCGGGCTTGCGGGAACACAAGGAGCACAAGACTCGGTGCAAGGGTTAACGAACTCTGGTCCGGGAAGAGAATGACTCAGCACCCACCCCCTCAGCCTGTTTACTCCAGTTCCCATCTGCTCAGTCTTCCCATTCCCACAGCGGGTCACGCAGGGAGACCCTCCCCAGGACCCGCAGAGCTCCGGGGGGCTGCACACCCCACCCCACCAGCGAGAGGGAAGCCCACTCGGCTCCTGCTCCAACAGCACCAGACGCTCTGCTTACAGAAAGCACTTTGGCCGTGGAACGCAACGAACCCACCAAGCAAATGCTTTTGAAAACCATTTTTATTTAAATAAGACTTTAAATACATTACATAAAACATTAAAAATGAAACCAAAAGTCTGTTACTTCACAGGGCATGAGGCAGCAGCTGGTAGTGACACGGAAGCTCTGCGGCTCTAGCTACACTGATACTCGTTACATTAGTCCAAAACTGATCCCTTGTCAGAAGTTTAACCCAAGGTCACGATTCCTTCCAGTATGCCACCCAGTTTGTATGCCACTGGGGTTTGTTGGGTACCAGCACCCGTCAGGCCTGAACTGCAGACATCCAGCCTTGAAGCCACTCTTCAGTTACTCCTCTTGCTCACAGCCAAGCTTCCCCAAATCCCTCCGCCACCAGGAGCCAGCACTGCCTAGAGGGAAGGTGGCATCTCCCCGTGCCATGTCACAGCTTGTGCTCAGTGCCTCGCTCCGTGTAGGACCGCAGGAGGCACCGCAAGGATTACCGTCCATGGGATGGAAGAGCAGCTGGACTGAGGAGCCATCCGGGCAGTCTCTGGACTGACAGGCCGAGTCCCTTGGCTTAGCTTGGACCATCTGGTTACTTTTAGCTGCAGGCTGGACCGTGCCGAGCGCCCGATTTACCTCTGTTAAATGAGGGACAGCAAGACGAGACAGCATGGGCTCTTGTCAGTTTATTACATCACGGAATTACACTAGTCCAGACTGAACAGTGGACCCAAGATGGTTACATTACACAAATCGGCTGGTCTTAAACTTATGACAAGGGACAGGTGGGAATTTCATGGTAAAGAAGTCTTCTTGCATAAAGCTTCAGTGACCCACAGGCACTTAAAACCCATGGACTTTCAGCTGGTCGTCTTTAGCCAGTCCAATCTGCAAGAAAGAAAACGCACCTCACAGCACACTGCGGCCGACGGGCCTCTGCGCCATCCACGCTGCAGACCTGTCCCATTCCCGCTCCCCCTAAAGCATGGCATGAAGATTAGGCCGCAACAGCAAAACCTCACGTTTGCCGAATTCAAGCAAGAATTTCAGGAAGAACAGAGTGAGCTCCCTCGGTCAGCCCGCTCTTTTAACGCTAACGAACGAGAACTGCGTGGTTATTAAACCAGAGCCTCACGTTCCGTTCAGAACCGAGCAAGCACACACGGCAGGACCGAGGGAATCCTACCTCCACGAGGAACTGGCAGATGTTCTTGCGCTGGTCACCTTGCAGCTGGATCACTTCTCCATACTCGGGGTGTTCGATTACAGTGCCATTGCAGGCGAATTTCTGCAGCGGAGAGGAACATGCCCTCAGCACGACACGGGTCACAACTGCT